ATCATTATTAAATAACATTATTTTTATTTCCCGTATGTTTTATATACGGAAAATATTTATTTACTTATTTACTGCTTCTGCCGGTCTTGTTTTTGGCCAAAACTTTATAGATTACCATCACACACCAACTTACACGAAACAAAGCATGAAGAATGAACATTTTTAACAAATATATAGAGCCACACCGACACACTCACACGTCGACATTCCTGAAGGCTTTTTGAACGGCAATGCATCTTTAGATATATTTTCATGCCGTATGACATTACACACAGTAAACCATTTTTCCTGTAACATTATTACTGTATTGCTGGTAAAACATTGCAACAAGTGAAGTCATCGCAAAAGGGTGCCCATGATGGAGCTACGGATAAAAATAAAGTAGTACTGATGTCGCACATACAAACACATGACGCCAGTGCATGTAACTCATACGGAGGGCTAAAACAGGCGCGAGCGTCTCATTGGCGATGCGTTTCCAACACGCCTCCCTCTCAGCGCCGGGCGATATTTAAAACAACCCCACCGACCCGGGCGCAGTGTGCGAGTTTAGGAGCAAGACACAGCCCGTGTATTAACAGGAGGAGATTTGTCTTATATCGGATATTTCGGAGTTTAACACACAAGGACCACAGAAGATGAAGTCACAGAGCAAATGTAAGTCAAAGATTTGTAATGATACTCAATGCAGTTTAGTGCGGCTCGTTAAACGTACTAGCAAGTATGCTTATTACACTGAGGCGATCGTTTGTCGCTATATGGCACTTATTCTGCTCCTGCAACAAATCTTTTCGTGCGTTTTCCAGCATTTCTTGAGGACGTTGACGACCTGAACGCCGTGTTGTGTGAATTCGACGCTGTCATTGAGGATTTCTCGTCCCCCGTGGAGAAGCGACACTTCAGATATGATGAGCACTTGAAAACCGTGAAGAGACGGAGCAGCGCGAGCGTCAGCGACAGCGGCATCAGCGACTCTGAGAGTGAGTGTGCATGAGGTCTTGAGGTGTTTTATTATCCCAGAGGAATCATAGAAGCGCCCTAAACGCATTATTATCTGCGCGTCACGACTAAAGTCCCGCAGCCTCAGAAGTTACAGTGCATAATCGTATCTAATCTAATCTGAGCCCACACACAAGCACAGAGAACAGCCGGGTTTCATGAAAGACCTTGAAACTTATAAAGACCTTGAAACATTTCTGATAGCCTGTCACTAGTCAGTTGTAATAGCTCTTCACAAGTTCACAGTACGTTCATTCCCACAACTGGAGATTGTGGAGCAGAAGAGAGTTCAGTCAGACCCTGCCAACCGCCCAGAGACAGTCTGGATCTGAGCACAGCATGAAGGTTTAACTCTCCAGCCAATAACAGAGAACCAGAGCCTTACTCAGACGTTTTGTGGAGACTTTAGGGTTTCAATTTCAAGTTAAACACTGACTTTTTTCTTAGCCTGAATCCCATTATATCCAAACCTCCTTGTGTGTTGAAGCACTGATGGGATGCATCCAGAATCTGAGGAAGGATTGCACCATGAATGGGTGTGAAAGGGTTCTGTTTGATTGCTTATGAATGCATAGAAAGGTTCCCTTTTCACTTTTGCTCTAGAAGTGTTCTTGTGTTTAATGGTTAAGCAACAAGTGATCTCTTTACCCGACCCTTTTCCTTCTGGAACAAACAGGGAATGTGACAGACTCTGTGCTTGCTTTATAAACCATCCTCTGGTGCCCTGTAGTCGCCCTCATGGATCTGTGCAACTGCATTTTAGATCCAATCAAGCCTTATGCCATTTTGACACACGTGCCATTGATCTGGATCAGTACTTTCAAGCGCTTTTGCTTCAGGTCTTGGACAAAACATCAACAAAGGGAGCATTTTCTCCTTCCTTTTAAAAGCTGAAAAGCATATCCTTGAGAAAAAGAGTATACTCTTTTTTACATACTTTTAAAAAGAGTATTTATTACATGAACAATATGCTTTAAAAGAATATACTTAAGTGCGAACTGAATATAATGTTTTCAGACACTCAAATGCATGGTAATTGTAATTAAATGAAATTGTATTATAGATTAAATTTATATATTTAATGCACTTAGTTGAATATATTTAATTAAACATGTGCATTTAAAATATATTAACTTTAAATGTAATATTAATTAACACACTACAGTTAAAATTATAATCAAGTATGTTACATATGCATAAAAAGTGTTCTTTAAAGCACGAACCAAGAATAATAAAACTTAATGATTACAAGGGCACTTTAAAGTAAAACTTTTGAATTAGACATTATTACAAAGTGCACTTTTAAAAAGTGTGTGGTTACAAAAATACTCTTACACTTAAGTGCAGTTCAATTTAATTAGTATTTTATTATCTGCAAGTACAATATTTTAAATATGTACTTTTAAGATTTGAAGTACACTACAGGTGTACATTCGGTACAATTAAGAACACTTCAAAAGCGTATTTAATCAACAGCTCTGATTGTGCGTAATTATACGATTGTTTGACTGATTTTTAAGGTTTAAAATCACTAATGTAAATGATGCAGTCAGTGTCAGCCGAGTGGATACTTGCACGTTTCACCAGCTGATGTGCTGAAGCCCACAGGCGAGAGGATCTAATGACTGAGGCGGTGGGAAAAGTTGAGCTTCCGTGTAATAGCACGCCTGCTCTGCCTTTAATGTCGAGCAGGGCTAAGAATGTGTAAACAACGTTTTTTAAGATGGAGTGTGGTGTACCGGCTCAGATCTGTGGCTTTAAATGAACCTGCTCGAGGGTGGGTCGTGGTTGAACCCGCTTTGAAAGTGTGCTCGTGAGAGAGAGGCTGTTATTAGAGGAGTATGCATTGATTACAAACTCAACCCGCTCTACTAGCACAGATTAACCCCCAACACCTCCTACCCCCTCCGGTTATGGGTCACTGCACATGTTTGGCAAGCCTGTGTGGTAGAGAGCAGTGCTGCTCCACTGCTTTTACATTAGGCATTAAGTGGTGACTCAACACAAGTGAATACTATAGACGTTTAGTCTAGAGTTTTTCCAGTTGTCCCTTGAATTTCAATGCTCTCGGCAAGGAAAAGTGTACAGATGTTGCAAGTGAAATAGTATTTCTGTTGATGTGGATTTCCCTATTCACATAAAATGAATTTTAAAACTACTGTTACAGTAATCATTATAGTTATCATCTCTGGTGTGAATGGGCCTTAATTCTACACAATTATGTGTTCAGCTCTATTGTATTTGCATCACAACATTGCCTCTCTGTGTCTATCACTATAGATTGCGACAGATTTTGGGGTCGTTACCCACCTGTTGTGGTGGAGTTAGAGAAGGCAGTGTGCTGTACACATACAGGAAGCGTCGGTGTTTCATTTCTGACTTCCTCGGTCTCTTTCTTTCCTCCTGTAACAGGTGCAGAGTCCTTGAACAGAAACAGCTTCAGCTTCAGTGATGAGAAGCTCAACTCTCCCAGCGTCTTCTCCCCCTCATCAAACAGTCCCTTGGTCACATCTCCTAAACGTGAGTTAAAATATGTTTCTTTTTTACATATTTAATGCTAATGAGTCGGTTTTAGGTTTATTTGCTGTACTGTGTTGATCAACTGTATATTGTCATCTTTAGCTAAACTTGGAGACACTAAAGAGCTGGAGGACTTCATTGCTGACCTTGACAAAGCATTAGCAAGTAAG